CTCAGCACGTGGTCTGCAGCTCCTTGTCACTTCAACAGAGGAGACGGGCACAGATGCCCTTGTTTTACTTTGTCTTCAAAGCATCAGAGTCAAAAGGCACATTTACATACTCACCCCCACCCCGCCCAGGGAAGACCACACAGACTTTCAGGCCCCCACTTGTGCAGTTCAGTTTTGAATTAAAAATAAATTACATCTTAGCAACCGTTACAACCCTACATGACTTCCTAGACTAGCACTGCCAGAGAGAACTTTCTCAATGGTAGAAATGTGGGCAATTGAGCCCTTGAAATGTGGCTGGGGTGACTGGAAGTAATTTTATGTAGCTTTATGAAAACTGATTTGAATTTAATTACAACATTCATTTTAATAGCTGAATATGGCTAACGTCCATATTGCAGTGCTGATCTAGAATAGGCACCTTTCTGAACCTTTCTTTTTCCTTGGGTTTCTCTGCCCCTTTGTCAGAGTACAAAAATGGCAACTATACAGCAAGAGCCCTTGTTCTCCCCACCCTAACCCCCTAGATCCCCCTGCCCTTTCTACGATTCCCCCTTCCAACCAAGTTCTCTAGTTTTCTAGGACCAAATATTATTTGTTATAACAGAGCCTTCTCATTGCAGTTATAATCATAAACTCCTCTGGGGAGAAATTATAAACAAATGGCCTATCCAAAGACTTCAGAAAATTACCTCTCAAAAACTCTTTGGAACGGACTATGCAGGGAAATGAACTAAGTATCAGGTTGGTTTGAGTAAGTTATCACATATGCGCCAGGAGCTTCAGGGCATGTTTGGACAAGGTTTTTTTTCACTGCTCCTAAATAATGGACAAATTGTTGATATAATGAGTGATCGAAGGAAGGGCCGGTTGGCAGCCTTTGGAGCAGGAAGGTCTCTGCAGGGAAGAGAATATTAATCAAGTCTTCCCAAGAGCAGGGGGCAACCAAGAGAAAAACAAGCTTCTCCTTCATATACAAGGCAGCTCCTGGGTACAGCTTCAGCAGTGTTTCCCAAACTTTAATGTGCGTGCATGCTACCTGGGCAATCATGTTAAAATGCAGGTTCCCATTTAACAGGGCTGTGTGATGGCAAAGCTGCTGGTGCAGGGACCACACTTGGCATCACGAGGTGCTAGGCCTCAGTGCTTCTCAAGTCCACAGAGTCAGATAGCCGAGCACCTCTGGCAGTGGGTTGCCAGGGCCCTGGCTCCCAGCTTCCCGGCCCACTGAGAACTAGGTGCTCCTGAAAATGATCACTGTGGAGTTCCTCATCTTCTAGGAACTCAGCCCTGCTTTATAAACTCACCTGCTGCAACTAGCAATCAACAGACCTCTGGTTGCCAGAATCCATCCAAAAGCACAGAACCAACGCATTAGGGGGCTGCTTTGAGGTGGTGGGGTGCTAGGAAGTCACTGCTGGCACAAATACAAGCCCTCTCCTCCAGTCTGGTTTCATTTTGTTTCCTACTAATTCGGTCTTAACTGGGAAGAAATGGGTATAATCTGCTCATTCAAACCACCTCATTGCCATCTAGAGAGTAAGGATAATGGGGCACCTACACCTGGTCCATGAAGCTCAGCATGCCAGGGGAGCACTGCCCTCCTAGGCAGGAGCTTACTGAACGCAAGCTCGTGCGGTTAGAGGTACTTTACCATGTTTGTTGCATGAAAGTACAGCTCAGTCTCCAGTGACGACCTCCCTCCGGTCCTCCAGACCCCAGTACCCGCTTGGTATTTCCTCTAGAAGCAAAATTTCCTCTTTTCTCCAAAATCAGTTCCCCTCACCCATTTTCTCTCAGAGATTTTTCTTTTATACTAAATCTTCAAAATTCAGTGAATTACTTACAGCACATCTCAATTTGAACCAGTCACATTTCAAATGCTCAAAAGTCACATGTGGCTGGTGGCTACCACACCGGACAAACAAGTCTACATGGTAAGTTAACAAGTATGCCAGAGCTGATAATATTAATACCCATCTATTACTAAGTCATTTTCTTTTTTCCAAAAGAAAACAATCTTGCCTTGAGACAAACTTTATGTTTAGGCCTAGTTGTGCTGTAAATGTTGTCCAGCGCTTTTTGGTTGCTATGTTTTTATGTGAAGAGTAAGAAAACCCAAAAGATACTCCAGCATTATTACCATTATCACAGAATTTGATTTTGTAAAACATATGCATATATTACTGATAAAACTTTAAGAGATAACATTGTCTGGACTCTCCTTCTTGGCTTTATTTCTGGCTGCAAATGTGGAATAAATGGGACCCAAGGACATAACGTAGGACTGCAGGAAGGAAAAGGAACCAAGGAACCACTTCAGCAAATGCTGTAAGCACAAGAGCCAGGTGAGAAACTTAGATCCAAACCCCAGGACTGGCCGCGAGGGACAACCACCAGATGAAATAAATACCTCTGAATAGTGAAATAGGACACACAACCTGTAGATTCCTAGAGACATATAAACAGTCCCCTAACTATGGGGCAAAGAAGCTGTTTATAGAAGTAAAACTGGTTCAAGCGGTGGCTTCATTCTTAATTCGGTCACTAAGAAATACATAGCCGTGAGAAAGATTTTGGAAAACAATGGTCACTGTGCCAGCTCCAAATCCACCCTTTTGCCCTGCTTTGTGATCCTGGAACTGCAGCCTATGAATATTTCTCCTTTGCCAGTGAGCACAATCTTAGGCACTGTGGGTAGGAGGCACACACTGCAGGCGTAGGGGCTTCCCTTCTCCTGGTTTGGGGCTTTTCCGTCTTGTCCCTGCTGCTTCACCTTATCAGCATGCGGCTTCTCACTAGTGGAGGCTTCTCCGCCACAGATGTGCGAAAGAGCGAGGGGCGCACACTCTGGATGCAGAGTTTTGCTGGAACCCCAGCGGGCTGCTTTCTTCCAACTGTCAGTGGCACCCAGCAAGTGACTTCCTAGCAAGTTTCCCTGGCACCCTGCTTGCCACCCTCAAACTGTGGCTCCTCCAGCAAATTTCATCAGTGAGCCACACCCCACCTTTTTTAATAAGATCTCACTCCCAGCCTTGGGGAGGAAGAGAAGGGCTCTTCCAAGTTTGTTCCTTCTTGGGTACTGTCTCAGTCTACAAGGAGTGGCTGCTCCTTACATCTGCTGGTCCTGTACAGATGTCTCAGCCTCTCTTAGTGGTTAATCCCCTGTTCCTAGTTAGTAATTCTTCATATTGAATTTTCCCTGTTTCAATTACTAGTATAGTTTCTTTCTCCTAAATGATAGTGTAATCATTTGTAAAATTTAAAAGAGGATGTATATTTTCTAAATCACTAGAAAATTAAAACCAGGAAATTACAGTCCATTTAGGAAATGAGAGGCATCAGTGAGAAAGCATAAAACATGATCACAGAAGGCAGAAGCCAGTAATTAACATAAAAGCAATGGATTAGCCTCCCCTACTAAAATGCTAAAACTCTCCAAATGGGTTGAGATATAATCCAACAAGACACGCTATTTAAGAAACAACTAATAACTACATTAAAGTTAAAAAATATATATATGACAATTTATCAAGCTAATATAAACAAAAAATACTCTAATATCAAAGAAGTAAAATTCAAGGCAAAAAGTATAAACAGAACAAAGGAATAACTTTATAGACTAGTAAGACTTCCTAGTTTCTGAGTTGTACCTAACAGACACATGTACTTATATATTAAATAATAGCATGAAAATACACAAAGCAGACGCTCTTGACAAGATAAAACTGAGAGAAACAACTAATAGATTTTAAGACACTATTAGTCCATGGTAGCTTATAACAAAATAAGAAAATAAAATTTAAATAATATAATGAAAGTTGTTGAATAGACACACATTCACCTCTGTCACATATGAACTGAATAAACCTTTGTTTAAAACATCCATAGAACACTTTTTTTAAATGTAAGGCCCCAAAACCTCAGTAAATTCTAAAAAGTAGAATCTATTACATAAGCCTATTTTCTTTCCACAAGGTAAAAACCCTACAAGAAGCAAAAATTAAAAAACAAAAAAAGCCAACCACGCAAAAATTTTTAAATTTTCTTAATTATTGAGCCAAAAATTCAAAACACAAATAAACTTAGAAAAATGAGACACATCAACACAGCTGGGATGTGAATGTATCTGAAATTAAAGATAACCAAAAATGTAACTCATCCACATTCAAAATAAAAAATAAGCACCAGACACAAAGGTTAACAGAGGGAAAAAATGTTACAGAATACAAAAGAAATAATAAACATAAAATGAGAATACATTTTAAAACAAAATCACAATCGATAGATACAAACACTGGTTTTTCTGAAGGGACGATACCTTTAGCAAGTCTAATCAATGGGAAAAAAATAAGTGGAAGAACTAAGAAAAGGTAAATTTCTTATAACTCAGAAGTAGAAAATTAATAGAAAAGATTGGTTTATTCTCTATTAAAATTATCTGCTAATAAATGTGTTAAATTTCAACAAAATGAGTTTTCTGGAAAACTATAAATTACTTAAATTTAGTGAGTGATAACCACAAAAAGAGAAATACATTTTAAAACAGAAAATTTTAAACTCAGATATTTAAATTTAAAAAGTAGGTAACATACTATTAAACATACTATTAACATATGAGAAAAAGATTCTCAACTCAAAAAAGCTTTATACGCAAAGTCCTTCAATCTTTCATTGAAGAATTAATCACTCCATGCTGTAACTACTTAATGCACAGAAAAATATACAGTTATCCTACTCACTTTATAGAACTAGTAAAATCCGTATGTCAAACTTGGACAACAACCTGAAGGACCAAACTCACATGTAAAAATGCAATTTTCCTAAATAAAATATTAGCAGATCAATTTCTATAGTACCAATAGGGCAGTCACATTTTAGAAGAAATGCATTCCAGAGGACATCATGTATTTAAAAACTAATTTTCCCTGCAAGTAAATGTAACAGGGTGCATGTGGTGGCTGGACAGCATAGGTCCCCAGTCACTGTAGTATTTTTTCTTTGAGACAGTCTTTTTCTTTTCTCAGCATCATTTCTAATATTTAAAAACAGATTCTCTTTCATGGTGGTGGTTTCTTTTGGCTTTTTACCACATTTAATTTCTGTCCCAAAGTACTGAGACTTAAACATGGTATTCAGCATCAGTTTTAACCACCTAATGAATGCATGTAAGAGAATACAATAAAGGTGAAGGTTAAAGTCAACAAAAATTCTTAAGAGGGTGCTAGTAAAGAACCCTGGGCTTTCCAGGATACTACCAAAGGATGGCGGCTTATCTTTTTACCAGTTAAAGCTGCACTGCCATATGGTTAAAAGCATGAGCAGTTTACAATGCACTGAGACTGCCAGTTTTGAAATTATGCAATTCTTAGTCATTTTTTAGACTTCAAGTATGTGCATTACTTCAAATTCTGAAAACAAAGGGAAATCATTAATACTAGATCAACTATTTAAAATCCCTATAGTTCAAGTCTACGTAAGATATAAGTAAACTGTCAATCTTTTTAAATAATTTTTTAAATCTGATTACAGGATTTAATGTTAATATTTTATGTGTCATTAACAAATCAAATGAAAATAATCATACGTAAGATGTATGATCATCTTAACAGATACCCAAGAGGTATATCTGACAAAATATCAGGGCCATTCCTAATTCAAATTCTTTAAAAACTGACATTAGAGGGAAATTTCCTTTCTAGATAAGGAATAACTCAAAACAGCCAACCTAAAGGTAAAACACTATGGACATTTCCATTAAAATCATAAAAAAAACGATAGTGTCTACTATCATCATTATTTAACATTGTTCTAAACATTTCAGCCAACAAAAACATGCAATAAAAATAAAGTGAAACTATTAGAAGAAATAACATCATTATTCATAGATTATATCAAAGTATTTCCTAGAAGACTCATGCAAAATTACTGGGAAAAGTATGTAATTGGCTAAATACCAGGAAGATACCCCATTATTGTCTGATGAGACTACAGAGTCGTTACCACTCAAATCTTCCCCCATGTCTGTCAGGACTGCCTCTATCCTACTTTGAGTCACTATTATTTTTGCCTGGATTACTGCATCAGCCTCCTGAACTAACTTCCTCATCTTCAGCCTGATGAGACATTAGATAGTATGGCCACAGGAAGTTTACAAACAGATCTGATTGTGTTATTCCTTTGCTTAGAATCATCTTATAGTTTCTCATCACAGAGTAAGATCCAAATTCCTTACCAAGACCCTACAAATACGGCCCTATCTAACTAAGCCCTATACATATGCCATTCTTGACACTCCAGATACACTGACTTCCTTTATGCTCCAAACACACCTAAGAGGCTGTGCTGGTCCTACTCTGCCAAGCATTCCTCTTCCTTGAATCTCGTGAGGATGGCTCCTTCTGTCAACCATATCTTGTCCTAAATGCTACTTCCTCAGCATTTTGATCCTCCAACCTCAAGTAGCTACCCAGTTACTATCTCCTTCCACCCTATTTTAATTCCCTCCACAGAACCTAAAGTTCATGATCTGATATCTTCCCTGTATGTTTAGTATCTTCTCCCACTGATGTCACTTCCATGAGAGCAAGAATTTTGTCTTAGCTGTTCATTTCTAACACTTAAATAAGTGCTTGCCACATATGAAGAGTCACTCAATAAACAGTTCAATTTTAATTGTCTATCATTCTCAATTAACTGTAAGGTCCACAAAACAGGAGCTATGCCTACTTTATTCACTGTTTATCTCCAGGACTCTAACATTGGGTATATATTCATTAGCTCCTAAATAAATAAATGAATGACTCCCTCCTTCCTTCCCTTTATACTGAGCAAATGTTTTTGGTGAGTCCAACACACTGCTGACCTATACTGAACTTACAGCCAACTAATACTATCCTAAATGATTTCGTACGAATTACTGTAAAGTTACAACTTGCCACCTCTACCCATTCTCCAAATTCTACACTTGTGTGATTAAGACTTGACAGTCTTGATGAAATTAATCTTTAAAATGCCTCTATCAAAAAAATATTTACAAGAAAATAATAGGTCAAGAAAAATTTAATTTGAGTTTTAATCTATAAACCACGTGTAAGTAGTTGGTCAGAAAAGAGACCTTCCCTAAATTTATGCTGGAAAAAAAATTGGGGTATTAAAAAGTTGATCTATCTTGTCAGTATATAGAGCGATAACTATTCTATACTAAAACGGTCAAAACTAACAAATCCACAAAAGAAATGCCTCTTAAGAATTTTAAGATATTGGATGGCCATTCTGATTATCCAAGAGTTACTCATTAAATATGACACATAGTACTTATTTGCTGGTTTGTGGACACTCTAAGTATCTAACTACTTCAAACAAAAGGCTACACTCTCAATTTTTTATATTTTATTTTTATTCAGGACTTTACTCACAGGCAGCACTTTAAAACCAGGCTTTTAAAATGAAAGGCCAAAACTGAAAAAATTTTGCAAATATGACACTGCTAAAAGAATGATCATCTTAATAATTTAAACCCTAAAATATCCCATGGAGTTAAAGTCTTTATACACAGAGTGTATAAGATTGGTATCCTTTAAAATAAACAACTGAAAAACCACAGATCGTGGGCAAATTTGTCCATGAAGATAAACATTAGTTTCAGCCTTCCAGATTATGAAAACCAGCAATTAGTTCATCTTGTGACAGAATATAAACTATGCTTCAGAATTTCGACTTTAAAGTTTCTTTCTCCAGCAGCAAATCAGCGTATCTATGCTGTAGTTCCTTTTCTCTGTCCTGTTGTCGCTGAACATCTTCTTTTAGACACTTGAAGAGACAAAAATATTAAATCATTATTTCCTACATTAAGACACTGAAAACTAAAATTGTCTTAAGGTACTTTATCATCTTACAAACAGTGGGTTCAGTCTTGTCCTAAAATAACAACTACTTTTGCTACAAAACCAGTACTGCAACCATTCTTTGATTTCATCGTGACTACCATCTTCTTGTAAAATTCTGTGACTACCTGAAACAAACAAGCCATTACTGTCCTATCAGGACCCATAAATGTACTTAAGTCTGGGCAGGGACTATCATGCACACCTGGGAAATAAACCAATCTGGCCAAAGGAATTTGCTGCTTTGGAACGACTATCCATATTCCCAGCATCCTCAATTACAAAACACAAAGACACTGGTTTACTGTGCCTCGGAGAGCTGTATGAATGGGATACAAATAAGTTTCAGGGGGACAAATCACAGAGGTTACTTCTTCCATTTCGTGGTGTACCTACATACAAAACAGAAAATTAGTAAAGGAATAGCCTTGGTAACCACCACTGGCTTGGTCTATACATCTACACACAGGCAATTCTAGATTAGAAAGTCAAAAATTTTAGGCTATTACTGAAAAAAGAGAGTATCAACTTCAAGGATAGCCTGCACAGGAAGGAGAGGGAAAAAAAAAAAAAAAAAAGGAAGGCCCTGATAATCCTTTGCAGCTCTCTTCACCTCTAAGCAATGCCGCAAGGCAGTACGTTACCTCAAGCCTCCGGGGAATAGCAGAATCTTCATGTTTCTTGAGTTCTTCAAAAGTACGTAATTCCAAGTAAGCCTGTTCAATTTGGTCCCACAAGTCATTCAGCTGTTTCATGAGCCCCATAGCACGAGACTGGTAACCCCCAAGCAAAATTTTCATCTTCTTTTCCATCTTTGCAGCTCTCTTGGCTTCTGTTGTCATGTGGCCCCTGTTTATCTGGGCGGCAGAGGGAAATCACATCAGCAAATGAGAAAAGCTGGCTAAATAACAGGACTAAAAAGGCACTATCAAAGCAAAAGTACATTAGAGTTTAGCTATCATCACACAAAATTGAGCTAGAGAAGGGTGTCTTACACCTGAAGGGTTTTACAGGTTAGTCCCAAATAATCCATTTATAATAACTTCACCCATGATTCAATCTCAAGGCAGGCTTGAATTTCCTAGTATGGGAAAAACTAACCTCATCTTCTGAAAATAATTTCTGCTGCCATTAATCTGCCTTGATCTTGGGAATGGCAGCAACCTGTCCTCACCCACTGCATGTCAAAAATGCACTTCTATCCAACATAATGACTACAGTTAACACTACTATAAAGTTGTTAAGAGTGTAAATCCTGAGTTCTCATCACAAGAATTTTTCTCCCTTTTCTTTTTTTTCTTTATATTGTATCTATATGAGATGATGCATGTTAGCTGAGCCTACTGTGATAATCATCTTAATGTAAATCAAACCACCATGCTATATTTAAACTTTTACAGTGATACATGTCAAGTATTTCTTAAAACTGGAAAAAAATTCACTTCTATATTATACATCTAGTATATTTTAATAACTGAATAATAACCATTAATCACCAAAGCTGTAATCAAAACATAATCCCTCAAGCTATAAAATTACTAGATTATTTTCATGTTATAATTCTAAATTTGGCATAAAACCCATAAAGGAAAGAGAATTATCACATTTGGCAACGAAAAAAGTTTTCCATTTTTGATAAGTGAAGATACCAAATTATCTAGAGAAATGAGTTTTCCTTTTATATACGTATATTGAGCACAGGTAGGCTGCCTCCTCAGATCATTCAAAAATTAGGGGAAAAGAATTAAAAATGTATAAACTCACACAAGAACAGGAAAAGAAAAATGTCAGCAGAATCCTAGAGTTGATGCAGCAGCACACAGAAACCCCCAGGCTAGAGGCCCCCGATAGGTGATGAAGAAACAGCAGACCTTTACTACAGAATTCTATTAGCATAACACCTTGCTCTGCGTATATTCTACATCCCACAACATAATTACTTGATATTTTAAAGTGATCTGCAAATGCACACTTTCAACATACAACACTCGCAGAGGTCAAAACCTTATTAGGAATAATCACTAATTTGTAATTTGTTTGTGTCTGTTCTTCCTTTTCTCCTTCCCTCAACTTCCTCCCTCTTCCCCTTCCCTTCTACCACCTCCTCTCTCTCAACCTGATTCCGTGAAGTGACTTCTATAAGCAATGAAAAGTAAGCAGTTTCAGGATAATATTCTCAGTAATTCATGTAACATAACTGAGAGCACCCCTTAACAAGAGAGACAATGTGACCAAAAGAAAATACTTTTTCTTCTGAGACACTAAAAGTGGGGTTGGAGGTAAATCAACAGAAATGGTAGCACAAGAAAATGTCAAATGCAAAATACGGTTATGAAAAACTGTAAACAGGATGCTTTTCAAATATTTAGAAATGATATAATCACCAAAACAAATACACACCTTTCCATGATACATAGCTTCCCATTGAAATACCCACCTTCAATGCATAACATTTGATTCAAAAACAAACACATCAATCTCAATGCTTCAATGGTCAGAATATATAAGGACACAAAAAAATTAAGTGGTCCTCAAAATATAAAGCACACTTATACTGGAAAAGTAGTACTTCATTCATACCCAGCTCTGGCTTAGCTTAATAAAAGTCTAGTCAAAATAAGCATGTGTATGTGGTCAGAACGAGAGATGGATCTAAAATTGAAATAAAGCTTGTAAAACCATTCAGATCTTCAGCATTTTATTAGTTTGTAAGCTTTCAGTCCTTTGCAATTCACTTGAAGAGTAAGTACCATCCTTTATAAAGGAGCCATTTTCCTCTAACAGATAACAAATCAAAGTAAGTTCCATGCTAATGACATATCTTCTAAAAGTCAGGAAATTCTGGGTGAAGTCAGGCAGCAAAGAAGAGTGTGGCAGTGAGTCACTCTTTCTACCCAGCACTGCCACCAACTGTTATGAACTGAGGCAAGTTATTTAACTTCTTTGTCTCCATTTCTCCATCAAATGGCAGCCATTGCTAAAAGTTGTTATGAAGCTTAAATAAGATAATGTATGTAAAAGTCCTTAGCTGCCCAGTGACTGGCACAGAGTAAGCAATCAGCACGTTAGCTTTGATTAAAATTATTTTATAGATTAATAGTTTAACCTATTTGTTCTCCTCTCTAATGGCCCAAGGGACTAAGGAAGAGGCTTTAAAACCCTTCTTTAAAATTGTACCTTTATAGCTAGAATTATCATGTACATAAATGTTGAATCACTGTGTTGTATACCTGAAACTAATGTAATACTGTGTGTCAACTACCCTTCAATAAAAAATAAAAATAAATAAAAATAAATATTTTAAAAAAATTGTACCTTTAATAAAAAATGATGTGGATCTCTTCCCAGAAATGAAGCAAAGAAGCACGGCTGTTCCTTCTTGTAAGTGAGGAGTTCGCCTCTGGAGGACCGCTACACCAAGTAACACATACTGGAGTACATCTTGTCAAGCCAGTGGTTTTCGATCTTGGCTAACTTTACAATTACCTGTACAGCTTTTAAAACCTACCAGCGCCAGTGCCCTAAATCCAAACACCTATATTTAAAAGGTCTAGACCTTTGTAGTTTTAAAGCCCCCAGTTGATTCCACTAAGCAATGTGGGCACAGATTCCTGTTTTGACCACTGTCATTACAGAAGCTAGATATCAGCTCTTTTCTGTTAATTAGACTTACCAAAAAGTCTTCATTTCTGGTAAATGAACTACTAAATCTGTGAGTTGCATTAAGTTCCTTATACTATAATTCAGCATGTTCTGAAAATATCAATACTAAATAGTCTAATCACATGTGGATTAGAAAACACACATCCCAAAAACCTTAACAGCACAGAATTATTTCAAATACAGTGTTTTAAAAAACTAGTCATACAAATTATCAATTTCATTGGTTAAGGTAATTCAATTAGCTATAAACTGCACCCCATGATGTTCAATTTCCAGTTTGGTGTAACAGCATAACATTTATCTAAGACAGTGTTTAGTGTTTAGCCATCAGGACACATTTAGTATGATTGGTACACCTTGCATCTGGTAAATGCTCTGCTTCACAGAAATGAGTCATTTATTATTTCCAAACTACCAAGAATTTTAAAACTGCAAAGTTAGCTTCCATTTAATGCCAACAATTATACTTAATTCAGCTTGAGCTTCATAAAAGTCTTATGGCTCAAATATTATGCTAAGATTCCAAGCAAATATGGAAATAAATTATACCCAAAGATGTACAGAAAATATTTAGTCAAATAACTATAAAGTTAGTATGGAATACAGCTTTTAATATTCAATTTAGCTATCTTACATCTGCCATCTGATCATTAAAATGAGAAGGAAGATATCTGCATACTTGGTAAAATGGCTCAAAATGTAGTATGACAGCTCAATGTGCTTTATGAGGAAAAAACCAACCTGTAACAACATGGCCTTTTTCTAGCCAATAAATCTCAAGCATGAAATGCACATGTATACATGGGACAGAACAACCCTAAATCAGCTCCTCCAACTCCCTGGCCCCATACACAAAAACATTAAAGCCCAACAGAGTATAAAACCTTATTGTTTAAAATACAAAGAATGAGGAAGAACCAGACTCTGATTTAACAAGATTCATATTCGTATTTCTAAGCCCTTTTTAAAAAAAACACAATTAAGCACTAACAGCTGCCCTGAAGGACAACTTATTTAGAACAAAACAATACTGTAACAAGAAGCTTACACTGCATCTTATAGCTGATTTACCATCTCCCCCCCAGAAAATGCTTTTCAAGTCACTGCATTTATAGACGACTTACCAAAAGTTCTCAAAGCATTTTTTTCAAATTCCTGTCTGCACTTAGAGAATACACCTCAGAGTCTTCTTAGAACATCTAACACAATTCGTAGTGGAGCCAGGATGAAATACTTTGTTCACTTGTCACCAGACAAGCCCCTCAAATACAGTTAAAATGGAAGTTTGTGCTTTAAATATGTACCAGCATGAAATTTCTAATACTCTTAAATAAAATAAAGTTCTCTGTAACTATAAGGAATTCAAAGTAGGACAATACTTGATATAATTATAATTAAAGCTGACTACATCTAAAGTGAAAGTGTAAAATTCAATTCTAAAGAGGAGATAAATGAGAATATATCTACACATAAATGTGTAGGGAGGCCAAGCTAACAAATTTTATGTACCTTATGTTTCATAAAATGATGTCTGGAATTGGCTTCAAAATAATGGGGAAGGGGGAATAACAGATGAAACAAGAGTGGCTCTGAAGGGATGACTGTCATAGCTGGTGATAATACGTGAGGACCCATTATACTAGTCTACTTTTGGGTATATCTGAAAATTCCTATAATAAGAGGTTTTTAGAAACCTTTCAAAGACTACTTATTTTGTTAAGATAGTATACCATAAACTATGAAACATCAATACAATTAAATATAATGGAGACATTAGAGTATGTCAACTATTTCACATACCAAAATATATATATGAAATCTGAAAAGTCCACAATTACATAAATTTCATTTATACCAATCAAAATACAACCTTTAATTCTAACTCAACTTCTCTCCTAAAATCAACCCATTATCTCAAATTTCAGACATTCATCAAAATTTATACAATAAAAACTTAGTGACCCTATTGTTCAAAGTGAAGTTACTTCTTGATACCTCAAAGTACCAAACCAAGTTTAATCTAATCTCTATAACACTAAGGTGATAAGAGACCTGAAGAGATACGGGAGTGAATTCCCATTCACTAAAATTTGCTATTTGCTAAGCACACAGTGTCTCACTCAATCATACATTATCTCAAACTCTCACTTCCATGAGATAAAAACTAATACCCATCCAAATTTTACAGGCAAGG